CAGAAACGAAATCTTTCAAAACTTCGTAATCCATGTATATCATTTGAAAACATATAGCATGTTCAAGGTCTGTAGGAAGTCTGAATTGTCGTTTTGTTTATCTCACACAAGCCCTCAGTCGACGCTCATTGATTGGCTCAGCGGCTAATCTAAGAGTTCCTTTGCTGACAAAAAACTCTGAAAGACGTTGATTTTGTAGTGATGACCCATCCAACAGTTGATTCAAGCTTTCAGCGGCTTCATTCTCTGCAATAATTTTGGTTTGTTTTGTTCAAGCAGATATTGGATTTTTTGAACGCATGCACAAACACCGTCCACTTTTGCTCGGCGCCTATTGCACAGAATGCCTGAAAACGTCTGAGAAACAGTTCAAGTCTGCACGAAAAGTACTTTTTCTTAACGAAGCCGGAAGTGAAAATTTACGGTGCTGTTTGGGTTCGATATAATCGGTATCACATGTTCATTGGTGGGGATTACTGTATGTGGCTGTAATTCTTTTGAGGTTATAAGGACTTGGTTGTTAAGATTTTTTCCTAGACATGCGTTTGAGAAAATCGGCTCTTGCACTGCTATAGTAGATCCGATAAATTCTCAATCCTGCAACATTCAAGATCTTGCCAGAGATTGACGATGACTCTAATACCAGTACAAAACAGTTTTTGGAGTTTTGAGCACCCAGAATAATTCTGTCGTAAGAAGTGTCATTGTTGTTCTTACGAAATTTCGACGTCAGATTTGTGCCATAGTGAGTCATGGGGTTTCTGATCATATTTTTTGATCGACAGAATTGTGCCGACTTTAAAAGTATCTTCTGACTGTCTTACAAAATTGGGTTGCAAGACCTGCTCTAAGGTAACTTCAATGAGATCAGTCATTTTTATGGCAATGTGAAGTAGTTTGTGTTTAATTATGATATGTACGTTTCTGATTTTTCTTCAAAAAGTCTACAATTTAATGGCTTGATTAAAAGGTAAATCAATTTTTCTTAAAATTGTGTCATCTTGTCATTTTTTAGTATATGTGAGTTCAGTTTTTAGAGTGCATTTTACAGAGCTATGTTGAGATAAGACGAGTTTTAGGTTGACCAATCTGAAATGGATCAAAGGTGCACAGTCCAATAAAAACTAAGGTCAGTACAATAAAATTTAAAGTCGATGCTCCCTTTGTACTTCTTTTGTTCTTTCATTGTCTTTGATCGTTCCGACGGAATTTCAGCATGTTTTAAGACGTGTCTCAAAAATTCAGGAAAATGCGGAACTTAATTGCGCCTATCCAGTGCACAGTTTGACCTCGTAATGAAAAAAATTACTGAAGTGTACAGATGGCGTTTCTTTTTTATTTTTCTCCATCTTTTTTTTTTCTGTTATTGTTTGGATAACTTTGAGCAATATCTTTCATCAAGAATGAAATTAATTTTAATCTGGGTCAACTGTAATCATTTTACACATACAGCAAAATTTTCTTTGATAATTGATTTTTTATGAATACTTTATCAATTTAGTCGGATGAAAATATATTTTGATTACAAAAAAGACATGTCAGTTTTGAGAAAATTTCCTGGCAAATTGAAGGAACTATCTTACAATTTTTTCTTAATCAACAACGGTGGTAAGCCTTTTCTTGGCATCATTAATCTGCTTCTCTATTTACTGAACGTTTTGTTTGCAAGTAAAATACAATGACTCACAAATAAAAAGTTAATGACTTTTGGCGACGGTTTTGTTTAAAAATTTTTATATTTAAATGATGGAAAAGTGCAATTGTTTTGAAAAGAACTATTATAACTTTTCCCACAAACTTCTGAAGAAAAAATTGAGAAAACACATTCCTACGCCATATCATTTCATGTTAGGGTTTCTTTTTCGGTAGAAAAGTAAGAATATCAGGTGTATACTACAAAGTATAAATGAAACGTATAATAATTTGTCCGATAAGCAAGAGTTTACTGAGAAGACAATTATTAAAATTTTAAGGAATCGGAATAATTTGAAAAAATTTTGATTTTTGTTACATTTTTGAAATGAACATCAAAGTTCGGTTTCTCAACGTTTTTTCACTCGATTGTCATATTTCCTTCAAATGGTGTTCCAAATTACAATTTAAAATACCAAATTTCAATATGATATTCTAAATCGGGATTTAAATGAATATAATGTAAATCTACTTTCCACCGCGATGTTAAGATTTGCTCCCTACGTTCTATAACCGTAATTATTTTCAAATTAGTGAACGTTTTTTCTTTTCAATTATAGTTATCTGACCATTTCTATTCATTATCATCCAAGCCTTCATTTTTTATAATTCAATTAAGTATTCTACGCTATCAATTAACTTTTGCTCATTTATGGCTGGAGTTCCGTTTGTCGGGTGATTTGGCAAGGAAATACTGACAACTTCATGCCATTTGACTTTTGGTCTAACCCTCTCTACTGGTAGGTTTGATAGAACTGTGAAAAGGTTTCGAAAGCTATTGGGGTGATTCAGTGACATTCCAGAAGTGGCGTGAGTTTCTGCACAAGGAATCGAACCACAGTTGTCATCCCTAGATTTTCTTCGGGAGGACGCTGCATACATTTTTAAAGTCTCTTGCATTTCAGGTACTGGAAACAATTTGAAAGTTGAATTCATGTTTCATATGTAGTTGGTCCTGGACATAAGTTGCAACGATTTTTTTTTATTTTTCTCGGCTTTCTTTTCCCGTTCAAAAACTTACCGTGCATGTTTGTTTCATGTGAGAATAGTTAATTAAAAAATTGCGCTAATACTGTTAAAGTGATCGGAAACAAAAACAATATTCTTCTTCCAAATTGAGGCCTTTATAGGTATTATCAACACAAATTATATATGATAAAACTTCAAAAAAACTATACGTTTTGTTATTTAAAAATATCAAAATTGGATTTTTCTTTTGCCTGCACTGATGTTCTAATATGCATGCATTTAAAAAAAAATTATAATAATTTATTCTAGAAACTTATCTATAAATGTACAAATGATTTTGAGTTTAAACAAACAAACAAAAGTTCAAATGATATTCAGAAAATGTTCATATGTTAGTCTTATGTCATCATTACTCTTTTTCGTGCAGCTTAAAATAAAAATATCACAAACGAAATCTTTCAAAACTTCTTAATCCATTCATATCATTTGAAAACAGGTAAGCATATACAAGGTCTTTGCGAAGTCTAAAGTGTCGTTTTTTATCTTAAGTCAGAATAGCCACAAGCATATAACTATCGGTCGCTTTGAAACAAAGGCCCAATGGCAAGCCACTGTCTCAGCTGCCAGCTTCAATTCAGTTTTTAAAAGAATAGCAACTGAAATTGTCAAGCTTGATAAGAAGTTGAAATGAAAAGTTGTTGAAGCCGATTTATAGCCTATTTAATGGCAGCTGAAAGAACTAGAAATATGGCTGTGAATAGTTTTGATTCTAAATTTAGGAACGGAAAGACTACGAACTTCCTCCATTGGTTAGTTAATAATGTTATCCTCCCTAATTTTTATCAACATAAAATGGACCCAGAGATAATTGCGAAATAGTCCGATGAATATTTCAAGTGAAAAATTTGAGCTGAGAAGAGTTCGTTTCCCTCAACGATATCATAAAGTTGTCCACTTAATTTACTATCGAACAATCTGAAATTTATTCTAGATTGTCATGTGTTTATAGTGAAAGCCCTACACATTCACAATTTCACCGGCCACTCTCTACATTTTTGGCAAAGTATTACCTGCCGCTTCTATAGTGACCTCGATTTTTACTTAGAATGAACAAAATGAAAAAGTTGACGAATATGATCATGAAGTACAAGCACGTCTGATAGACAAAGTTGACATTGTAAACCAGGATTGCATGTATCCTCATTTTCAGTTAAGAATAATCGACTTGTTATAGGATATACCGACTGATATTTTGCCACACACTATAGACGCCACTATAGTCGATGACTTTCGGGGCTCTGAGATTCTTCTCTCCACCGTCCCACTCCTTGATCCACTGGACTTAAGCTGAAAACTACTGAAATTCATTCCAACTTTTTTCTGAAAACCATCGAAAGTATCTCCAATCTAGCCCTTAAAATAAAGATCGAGTCGGAAGGCAAACTTGCTGTAAATTTGTTTTTAGGTTCTTTTCTAATCAAAGGTTTTCCAGCAAATTTTAGGTTTACTTTCTAAAGATGTTTTTCAATAGTTGGTATTGAAAATCATTTATAAACTCAACTATACGAGTTATAACTCGTAGATTATCATTGTCGACTCAGGTTCAATCTTTTGTTTAGTTTAGTGTTTAAATATTTTCAACTAACCGAAGCCCCAAAGCTTTTGCTCTAAATTTGAATTTAGACATTCCTAGTTTTTCATAAATAAAACTCTTGAATTAAAACTTGTTCAATAACTTTTTTAAAGTTCGAGTCAAATTGAGCCATTTCTTGAGTGAAAATGTCTATGATTTGATGAAAGTTAAAAGCAGGATTTCTTGCGGATGTTAATTAGTAGATTAGAAGAGATATTCGGCAATCAGCTATTCGTAATACATTTATTTCTGTTCTCCTTCGAAAAATTGATAGAAACCGAATGAGAATTTTTGGGTGTCTGCGTGTTCAAAGTATCTGTTGGTATCGGACAACGTTGGTTTTAAAAGAGTTTTTGGAGAAAGTTAAGAATGAAAGTATCTGCTAAGTCATTTTAAAACGCTATTTTAAGTATATTTTGATGAACTGGTGGTACTTTTTTATGTAAATACAAGATAATGTTATCTACGTTACAAGTAAAACCTCATGTTAAAATAGCTATCATATTGAGATGAAAATGATGAAAACGCTTTCAGAAAGGATCACTTAAAATTGAACTTTTTAATTGGCATAAAAATTCGTTGACAAAAAAGTGACCTTTCTAAAATTCGCCAATGTTTTCTGGTTTTTTTTTCGAATAAAGGGTGTTGCATGTTAAATAAGAAATGATATAAGTTGATTCCATATTGAAATCTTGTTTTCAGATTGCAATTGACATACCCAACTCAACTGGAATTGCATATGTGCTACTGTGGCCTTAGTTTGAGACCAGATCAGTTCATTGCAACGTTATCGAGACCATTTTAAACATTAACTAGTTGCAAAAACTGCCATTTAGTTGGCGTAGAATAATTGAAAATATTGTGATTTCTTAATCATGCATTCGTCGGCTAACTTCCCGGTTGCGATGGACACCTCAGCTCTTGTTCCGTCTCTCAACAAGGGACCCCCCTCTCGTAATATGATGTCACTCTACAATACCAGTGGAGGGGGTGGGGGCAGTAGGAAGGATGTGGTGAGGAGTGGGGGTGTGGCACCTGCAAGGACTTCTAGTTTGTTGTCGCCCATTATGGCCTTGAGCGGACACGAAGGAGAGATACTCACAACAAAGTAAGTTGTACGTAATCATAATAATAATAGTCACAATAACTTTTAAAATTTCCTTATCATACTAGTTGTGCGAGGTTTTTTTTTGAAATAAATACGTATACCAACTTAGTGTGAGAGACGTCACAAGGTTTGTCTATTTGAGACGTCTATTTGTCAAGTATTTGTTAGACGTTAATAAGCGAATTGAATTCCTTTTAAAAAAGATTGTATTTTTCACGACATGTTTCTAAATAGTTTCTAAATTAGTCATTTAGGCTTTAAAAAATCTATCAAACGAAAACTATCTGTGTGTATAGTTTTTTCATCGCACTTTTTACAAAAAAAATGACATTATGAAAATTTCATCACTCTTTTCATCTGTCATTCCTGATTTCTTTTTATTTTGCCTGTGTAGAGTTCTTTTTTCTAAGATAGCGCCACAGGGTTCTCCGTTTTTTTTTGCAGAGTCACCCCCAGTTCTTGTTTGTAGAATCCATCCTTATTTTTTCACTTTAATTTTAGTCTTAAAAGCATCATCTAATTTTTTCTGATATTATTAAATAGTTTTTTTCTAGGTTCCATCCGGGAGGCCAGTACCTGTGCAGTGGCTCATTCGACCGTCTTATCTATTTGTGGAATGTGTACGGAGAGTGTAGTAACTTTGCAGTGCTCAAGGGACACACTGGTCCAGTGGTGCAGTTGACCTTCAGCACAGATGGACTGAATATGTTCACTGCCTCAACTGACAAGACAGGGGCTGTGTGGGACATTGAGACGGGAGAAAGGGTCAAAAGGTCAGTAAGGGTCAAGTTGAAAGAAGCAAGAAGCAAACAACGTTGTTTTGTGTGCGTGTGTGAGTTTTGAGGGGGATTAGTTTAAACATTTTTTCAATAGTTTTGGTTATTTTCCGAGTTTTTCAAAAAAATTTCGGCGTTAAGGGATTCTACTCGGAAATGTATTTTTTGAACCGCCTGTTAAGTTTTCCGATTGTAAACTTTTGCATCTTATTGTATTATTGAAGTGTTCTGTAGTGACTTTTTTTTAGTATTGCATCGCAATTGGTGCGAAGCACAGCTTCGCCTCTGTAATAATTTTGTTTTCAAGCCAGACACTTATAACGATACATTCTATGAAATTGCACATTTACTATTTAGTTCGGCTTGGGATAATACCAAAAGGGCATCAGCTTGTTTGAGGCATCTGCATGAACGAATCTTTTTCGCCTCTTTTTCAAACTTTAGATCATATAGACATTCCTCAGAAAGGACCGCAAAATAACTTCAGAAATCAGGGAAAAAATTGAAAATCAATCTAAATTCTTTTTAGGTGCTGTTTAGCAATGAAAATAAGATGGGGAAAATTATAACAAGATAAAAATGTCACAAAAATAGATCTCTTCTTTTAAAGAATCAATGAGTTCAAAGATTCATTGGTAACTGTTAACAAAAGTTCGAAAAACTTATTTTTTCTAAATCATGGTGAGACAAACAACAATCAGCAATTTATTTTCAACTAGTAATAAAACATTTCAATTCAAAACAAAACATTCAATTCAGTACATGAAATTGGAAAGGATAGACGAAAGACGCATTGCGCACTTAATTTAGGTCTACCCGCTATTCAAATAAATTTCATTTATTAACGCTTCGAAGAGTTGTTGTTTTTTAGATTGAAAGGACACAGTTCATTTGTGAATTCCGTGGACAGTAGTAGGAAGGGGGACCAGTTGGTGTGTACAGGGAGTGACGATGGAACCATCAGAGTGTTCGATTTGAGGAGAAAAGACCCAGTGAAGAACTTCAACAACACCTACCAGGTATGGACAACTTTTCAATTAATCAATTAATTAACTAACATTAATAACTTTATTAGTTAATATTGCTCTAACTTGTCGGGTCTAATGAAATAGTATAACAGGCCGAACAAACGATATATAAAAAAACTTCAATCAAGGTGAAAATTAGTTAATTAATGAGATAATTATCTACCAGTATTAACTTATTTAGTTGACATTACTCTATTAAATACACTAATCAATGAGAACGTTAATCAATCACGAACGCAAGTTAACTAATTATTTATGTATATCAATTAACTTGTCGGGTCTAATGAAATAGTAAAAAAGGCCGAACAAACGATATATATAAAAAAACTTCAGCAACACTTACCAGGTATGGACAACACTTCAATCAAGATGAACATTAGTTAATTAATCAAATAATTAACTAACATTAATTAGTTGATATTACTATTTTATAAACCAATCAATGAGCTGGTTATTCAATCAAAGAACGTAAGTTAACTAATTAATTATGTATATCAATTAATTTGAACGGGTCTTATCAAAAATTAAAAAAGCGCGGACAAGGTTTTTTGACTTAACTTCAACAACACTTGCCGATCTAAATGTAAACTTCAATCAATGTGATCAGAAGTTAATTAACTAACATGATTAAACTAACTTCTGAATATTAAGTAATTATGTACATCAATTGATGTTAGTTGGTCTCAACAAAATCTTTTTTGCACGAACAATTGATTTGTGTACAAACTTCAGTCAATGAGAAAAGGTGTGGTTAGTGGGCGGATGTATTCTCGAGGGGGTGGGGGCGGATTTTCAAAAAAAAATTTGAAATGTTCTTGACTTTTTTCTTATCAGGTGGACCATACTGACTTTCCGAGCCCTTACAAATCACTATAAAGACCCTATTTTGACCAAATTTTGTGCACCGCAGGCAAAATTTTGATAAAAATAGGCCAAAAAAGGCCTTTCAGCAACTTGGAACATCTTGACCAAAAATCCCGTTTTTTTTTTCGGCGCGCTCTCCCCCCTCAAAACTAGTTTATATTAGCTCGTCACCCCCCTAAATTCGCTGGTGGGTGTGGTCAAAAGGAAACCACAGAACAATAGGGTATCAAGTATTCGTTCTATGCACTCACCTGCTGATGTAGAGGATAAAAAATTTAGGATGATTTTCATGAACGAATATGACACCACCATGCTTGCTATGGATATCAGTTGACCTTTCTTTTCTATATAAATATTATTCGTGCATATAGAGTTCATTGTCGTTAGTTTCTGTAGTTTTTTTGTTAACCCTCGGTCCTCTGATCCCATCCATTTCGCCGTAGCCGGTCCCACCTTCAGGAGGCGGATGACACTGGGACCTCTCCAACCATGAGCTAGGTGGGATTCGAAAACACGGCCCTCAGATTGAGAGACGTGTGCCTTACCGACTCGGCTTTGTCCGCTCAATTTCTGTAGTCCTCCGCGTTTCAGTGATTACATAAATACACAATTGTCTTCTTGACAAATACTAGCAGCTTTGCAAGAAGCATTTGTCTTTCTAGATTAATTATCCTAAGTCGCAATTAAAAATGCTACTTCTGACGGCACTTTTGAATGCGTAGACTACATAAGCAGTATAATCCCAAGTGCTTTGACATTGATTAGTAATCAGCTAGCAGAGTTGATGACTTTTTCAATTCATCAGTTGATCCGAAAAAAAAGAATTTGTATTATTCAAAAGTTTAATAATTAAAATCCCAATTTTTAAACTCGAAATACTCCCCGAGGTTTTTAAAATGCAGTATTTTTACGCAATTTGGTTTAATACACTCTAATTTAATAAATTCAAAGTTGGTGTGGTTGACTTCGGTTCATTACATTCCAAAATCTTCCACGCAACTTTTGGGCATTTTAAAGATCCTGAGTTTTTGCCGCAATCTGTCGTGTTTTGGTAGCTGCAGCTTTGCTTCTGTGTAAAAACTCGGGCGTTGATACATGAGACATTCAACCAGTGTCAAACAAAGCATTTATTGTTTGCAGTGTTACTTTTCAGTCAATCGGTTTGTTTGTTTAAAACTAGTGTTTTTGCCGCGATACAGTTTCAGAAAAAGAATCGTGTTACAGTTCGTCAATGTAAGGTCAATTGCGTTTTTTGAAGTTCGGCTGGCATATCCGTCAGTCGGTGAAATCCCGTTGGGAGTTGATAGGTGCCTGTTTCTTTAACCCACCTAAACTGAAAGTGCACTGTTCTCTGATCTTTTGATCCAGGGGTAGATGTGCATTTGCGTATCTCAAATCATGCGTCGAGAAGAATATGTCGCCTAGGCCTGATATTTTAATTGCTTGGGCTACCTTATCCATTAGAAGCTCTATATTGGGCATTTGATACTTTTTTATGTTAATATTTATTGATTTGTTTGGAGTAGTTCAGGGCTAATGAATTGTTCATCGCTTCATTTTTCCTGTTTTTTCACATTTTCTTGATCAATTAGTTTGTTGAATTCCTTCTTCATTCACTCGTGTTGGTAGATGGGTACTGTCCTACCGTTTTGTTGTACTGCTATGAAATTCTTTACGGTTTCTGTCTTTACCATATGATGTTTTAATCTCCCGAATCGTGTACATAATCCCCTACAGTTGTCCTTGACCCAGCTTAACATGTTGGGGTCTGATTCGTTTTGTGTCTCCATGTATAGATCCATTTGTTATTTTGGTTTGTCTTGTTGTAGTCTATTGGATATCTTTTTGTGTTAGGATGTTTCGATCAACTATGCTTGCTCTTTGTCCATCTACTACGCTGAATGGTGCAAAGTTTGCTGCCCACCCTCCGGATTCAATAGGTTAGTCTATCGAGTGATTCCATATATACCCCGTTATAGCAGGCGAAGTTATTGGCTGCATCGTCTTAGAATTTTTTTTCCATATGGCGCTTTTTACCTTTTTTGCGGTTCGTTTAGAAATGACAGGGCTTCCAGAATCTGTTATCGCTACGATTGAAGCACATGTCGTTTTTATTTTCACGCAGTGTCTTTCTTCTCTGAGCGTTGTTGTTTGACTTCGAATATTTCGTTGATAGCTAGTACCGATTAGTTATGTGAGTGAAGGGCTTCCCACCCATTAGCTGATGTGAATTTGGCAAATGCGATTGGACCCTCGTCTTCTTGTTGCAGTTCAATTTCGGTTTCCTCTCTGTCTCCGTCGTTATTTATGCCCAATGTGCGGCAAAATTTCTGAAAGTGGCCTCTTCTGCCACTTTGAACAGATTTTGTCTTTTGCTTGGCTTGTTTGTTTGAAGATGGTTCGCGGAGAATGGGTTCCCGCTTTTTAGCATTGTTTGCTTTGATGTTGGTTTTGTTCGACAGTTGGTCCGCGTTGTCCTTGTTGGCTCTGGTTTCTCTTTTACGATCATTCCATCGCCCCCTGCCTTTTCCCTGCGAGGTTCGGTTCCTCTGTTGGTTGATAAATCCAACTGATTTTTGTTTGATGTTAACTTGATTACCGAAAGAGCTGGAGTGTCCCTGGCTGTTGTTTTTTGCGCTATATTCCTTTTTCACTTCTTATTGCGCAGTGATACGCCTCTTTGGGTTCTCTGATTTCGGATAATAACTCCTTGGAGATCTTTTTGTTCAACATGTGTGCCGGGGACATATCTCTCACCCATTCGTCCTCTGTCCCCTCAGTCTGCTTCAGAGGCTATTTTTACCAACTTAGCGTGGTATTGCTCCAAGGATTGAGTTTTCTTCTGAATGCTGCTTTTGATATTATATCGCTCTAATGCAGTTATCTTCACCACAACGGAGACGTCTTCGAGTTCACCCCATAGGTCTTGATGGACACGTATAACATGATTCGTTGTCCGCCATGCTTGTATAAAAAAACAGAGTGCGATAAAAGGTCTTTTGTTACTGGACTCTAGAAAACAAATCATAGACACTGTTATTGTGACGTGTCTCGCCCTTATCGCGACGTGTGTACCCTTTCGCTGCTGCAGTGAAGGTCACCGTGTAATCATGGCCTTAAAGGCCTAACATAGTTAACATAGCACATCAGTAACAGTGAGCGTTATAGGTATTGGGACAATTTCCATGTAGTTGGAAACCGCTCGTGTGTGAAGTGCTGAGTGTATTTGGAGTTTGGCTCCCTTGCCGATGAATTCGTTAGGGGTGACCAACTTAGTCAGGAGGCACACATAGAGGTCATTGAAAAAGGTTTTTTTTTTCAGCGAGGGGGATTTCGAGTTTTCTTCTTCTGGGGTAGTTGTGTAGATGGCAACTTGCATAGTGTTGGGATACGTAAAGTATAAGGCATTTACTGTGGAGGTGTTAAATTTTGGTCATTTTAGTGCATCTTGTTACCGTGCAACTGTAGGTGATAGATTTTAGCCATTTTTATGCATGCAGTTACAGTGCAGAGGGCGGCGTTTTGTACAATGTAGTTTTTGGGGTAGTGCTTGCTGCGTGTGACTATGCTAGGGCAGCGAATTCTATGATGGGTCTAATCCTCGCTTTGTTCGTCAGAAGCGTTTACCTACTTTGGCCCCAGTTGGTGCCGGCTAGCTCTTTCAGTACTGAGCTATGCTTCTTACCTTTAGTCTTGCAGTGTAACGAGTATTCCATGCATAGGTATAAGTCCTAAGATTTTGCTTGGGGTTTTGGCCTGTGGGAGCAGAGTGATCTAGATTTTGACTTGGGTGAGTTTTTTGGAGTCACGTGATAATAGTGTTACTCAGCATTCGGAGGGGTAGAGTGCTAATTGAGACTGCCGAAGAAAGTGTAGATAGTCTACTTAACCGGAGAGAAAGGAAGATATTTTTCCTTGGGTACAGACATTGAAGTCGTCCGCGTAAGATATAATGGATATATTTTTGGGTGGAGAGGGGGAATCGCGAACATCAGTTGAAAAGTGTTGCGTGAAATAACCGTTTCTGGAGACTTTCTCGCCTTGTTTAACATCGTTAAGGTCATCTAGATGAGAGAACTCATAGGGTCGTCTCATCTACTTCAGTTGCGAAGTTATCCCACTCAACT